TTTACCAGCCAGCCTCCGCGGTAACATCCAAGCATACAATCGGAATATTTCGTATTATTACAGTGTTTTCGGTGCTTTTTCTGGAAAATAAGTGACCATGGGCCCCAAGAAAGTTTCTAGTGCCAACCCTACAGCAATAAGGGTGAGAATTACAATAGAGATGAAGAAAAAGATCATTGATAAGTATGCAAGTGGAGTGCGTGTCTCCGAGCTGGCCAGGTTGTATAATAAACCCCAATCAACCATCGCTACTATTGGTGGTACAGCTGCTGCTGCTGCTGCACTGTCAGCTGCTGCTGCTGCTGCACTGTCAGCTGCTGCTGCTGCTGTAGCATCGTCTGCTGCTGCTGTAACATCGTCTGTTGCTGCTGTAGCATCGTCTGTTGCTGCTGTACCACCGTCAGCTGCTGCTGCTGCTGTAGCATCGTCTGCTGCTGCTGTAGCATCGTCTGCTGCTGCTGTAGCATCGTCTGTTGCTACTGTAGCATCGTCTGTTGCTGCTGTACCACCATCAGCTGCTGCTGCTGCTTTAGCACCGTTGGCTTATTGAGAATACCAAGAAACAATTAACCCCAGAGGATTTGCCACCCAGGATAACCCAAAAAAGTCATTGTCATCATCGAAGACTGTCTAACTTATTTCCATTGGGGTCCTTAATCTTGTCTCCCAGGATGCAACCCACACAAGTGGACTAACACCCAGGTGAACAGGGAAAAATGCCTGGAACTAGTGCTCATATTGGTGAATTTAAAGCCAGCAAAGGTTGGTTTGAGAGATTTAAGAATCGTAGTGGCATACACAGTGTGATAAGGCCTGTTCTGGAAGAAAATGCCAAACAGGACCTACAGTACTCAGGAGGAAAAGGCACTCCCAGGACACAGTGTCTCATCAGTCATTGCTGCATCTTCAATAAAGGTAAGTGTCATTTATTCTTCATTTAGTAGACTAGTACATGCACAATATATACTGTGCATGTACTACTCTACTATTGTCATGTACCCTTCTCTTTGGGGTGTGGGAAAAATGTATTTTCTTTGGGGTAAAAAATTTTTTTTTCATACTTTTGGGTGTTTTGCCCCCGGTTTAATTTTGATTTCCTTTATTTCTTAGGGGGAAAATTCTTTGCATACCGTTTTATTTCCTAAAAAAAGCCCCTTTCTTGCACGGTTTAAAAATTCGGTTGCGGGGGTCCCCGGTTTTAAAAATTTTTTAAAGGGTAATTAATAAGTTTACTCTGTTTTGTATTTTTAACCTTTTTATTGTGTTTTTAATGCCTATTTCTTTTGCAAAATTTAAATATAAGTTAGTGAAAACCCTGTTGTCGGGCATTTTTGCATTTTTTAAATATGCTCTGATAATAATACTTGGGGAGCCGGGTGGGGGACAACATTACTTTTTTCTCTGTTCATTATCAGAAAAAACGGGGAATGAATCGGGTTTTTAGTCCAGCCATCCCCCTCCATTTTGTTTCAATTTTCGGGGGGGAATTATTCATTACTTTTTTCCCTTCGTTTATGATGACACCCTAAAAGTAGTTGTTAAAATGATTAATTCCAGTAAACAAGGCATGTCTATGTTAATAATAGGGCCTGGGCCACAGTGTGGGTCCCGGGAAAGGTGTAGCCCGGGGCTACCCTTTTCGGTTTCCTAACTGAGTTTTTACAAATAAATACTACTCACCCCTTTTTCCCATATTTTAAAAACTAAAATAAATTTTTAAAGGGAAAAAATGAGTGTACTGTTGGCATTTTACCCCTCTGGGGTGTTTTTAAAAATCGTATATTAAGTAAGAGACGGGGACCAGTGCCCCACTACACCGGGGTACCTGCACCCGACTTCCCACAAAAAGGGACTACCCTCTCCCCACAATAAGATTACAAAAAAATTTAAGTAAGTAAGAAAATTTTCTTTTACTGTAAATTTTCTTTGTGTGTTTTTAAATTTCTAAATTTAAATTAAATTTTAAATTAAAAAATTTAGTGTAACTTTTTTTGTTGGCTTTATATGCCCTTTATAAATGGAAAAAAATGGGGTTTTGCCTTCCGGCGATGTCTACTTTCCGGCGACAGCCTGGAACCTAACCCGCCGTATAAGTGGGGCCCTACTGTATTGTATGTAAAAAAGTTTATTCAGGTACATTACACAAGCTTAGATTTTACAATTGTCTTACAGAGTAACATACATACATACATACATATATATATATATATATATATATATATATATATATATATATATATATATATATATATATATATATATATATATATATATATTATATATATATATAAAAGTAGGTCTTAGACAGGGATGTGTAATGTCACCATGGTTGTTTAATATATTTATAGATGGGGTTGTAAAAGAAGTAAATGCTAGGGTGTTCGGGAGAGGGTGGGATTAAATTATGGGAATCAAATTCAAAATGGAATTGACACAGTTACTTTTTTGCTGATGATACTGTGCTTATGGAGATTCTAAAGAAAAATTGCAAAGGTTAGTGGATGAGTTTGAGAATGTGTGTAAAGGTAGAGAGTTGAAAGTGAACATAGAAAAGAGTAAGGTGATGAGGGTATCAAATGATTTAGATAAAGAAAAATTGGATATCAAATTGGGGAGGAGGAGTATGGAAGAAGTGAATGTTTTCAGATACTTGGGAGTTGACGTGTCGGCGGATGGATTTATGAAGGATGAGGTTAATCATAGAATTGATGAGGGAAAAAAGGTGAGTGGTGCGTTGAGGTATATGTGGAGTCAAAAAACGTTATCTATGGAGGCAAAGAAGGGAATGTATGAAAGTATAGTAGTACCAACACTCTTATATGGATGTGAAGCTTGGGTGGTAAATGCAGCAGCGAGGAGACGGTTGGAGGCAGTGGAGATGTCCTGTCTAAGGGCAATGTGTGGAAATTAGGAGAAGGTGTGGAGTTAATAAAAGCATTAGTCAGAGGGCAGAAGAGGGGTTGTGAGGTGGTTTGGTCATTTAGAGAGAATGGATCAAGTAGAATGACATGGAAAGCATATAAAATCTATAGGGGAAGGAAAGAGGGGTAGGGGTCGTCCTCGAAAGGGTTGGAAGAGGGGTAAAGGAGGTTTTGGGGTGAGGGGCTTGGACTTCCAGCAAGCGTGCATGAGCGTGTTAGATAGGAGTGAATGGAGACGAATGATACTTGGGACCTGACGATCTGTTGGAGTGTGAGCAGGGTAATATTTAGTGAAGGGATTCAGGGAAACCGGTTATTTTCATATAGTCGGACTTGAGTCCTGGAAATGGGAAGTACAATGCCTGCACTTTAAAGGAGGGGTTGGATATTGGCAGTTTGGAGGGATATGTTGTGTATCTCTATACGTATATGCTTCTAAGCTGTTATATTCTGAGCACCTCTGCAAAAGCAGTGATAATGTGTGAGTGTGGTGAAAGTGTTGAATGATGATGAAAGTATTTTCTTTTTGGGGATTTTCTTTCTTTTTTTTTTTGGGTCACCCTGCCTCGGTGGGAGACGACCGACTTTATATGGTTTATACCATATATATATACATACATACATACATACATACATACATACATACATACATACATACATACATACACAGTATATATATTACTTAGGATAACCCATTAAAGTTAGTGTGACTTAGAGTATTTCCATTGAAATTTCCACTTGCTTCAAATGAATGGTGTGAACAGACAAAATTAGCATAGTTGGTGCTATGTATGGAGTGCCAGTAGGGCATGTCCTTCTCATTTTTGAGTGCAAATTTATCCAAATGTCATGTCTTCCTGAGCTTGAAATGGATTCCCTACTGCAGAAAGCCATCCTACTGTTTAAATGACCAACATTCAAAAGATGTTTTTACCCTCCTGATGTCGAAAAGTAAATCTAGATTAGAAATATCACTCCCATACAGAAAAACTGCAAGGTATAGAACCCTATATAATAATAATAATAATAATAATAATAATAAATAATAATAATAATAATAATGTATATTTCTAGACAAAAAAAAGCTTTAGAGTACAGTACACATTTTGATATAAAAGCAACATATTGGCAGGAGTGCATTGTCAATGACTACACTGTAAGAACAAATACAAAGTTTATAATTCATCACAGAATGTTCAGTTATTTGGGACAAAGAAACACTATGATAATTCACACAAGTTAGTATGCTTAAGGTACTTGTAAAAAGTGCAAGAGCATTGACATGCCATGTTGAATTGAAACAACAGCAATAAAAATTTATTCTTGCATACCCTTTCAATTTGTTGATGTAAACCTAAGAAATTCTTTTCATTTTTTTTTTTTTTTTCATTTGTTTGCTTTATGTATGTGTATTGCAACTGATTAATAGATTTGCAGGTTCAAAATTTTCTTTTTGCCACTGGTTTATCTCATACTGTTCTTTGATATGTCAAATACAATTTTAATAATTTCAAGTAAGGGTAATGTAACTAAATTTTTTCCTCCTTAACTAAATATATACATGTCACAGCTGTGGCTTACAATATCAACCCAGTTAGATTAAATAAGGTTTGCATTACTACTACATATCAGCCACTAAAAAAAATCTTTATCAGTAACATATGGTGCTTAGTTCTAATTTCAGTGGCTAAAATCCACATTTTTTCTTCCCAGTTTCCTCCCTCCTTTTCTTTTACACAGAGCTAATGATCTGCAATATTTAACTGCTGGAGAATGAATGTCTTATTCACAGTGGATTAAAATTCACCCTAAAATACTAGTGCTCTTCAACTGGAAAGTCCCAATTACAGTCCAGGCCCTGTTGCACAGTCTTCAGCAACCATGTGCCGTATACCATTACAAATGTTTACCATAGGTATACTGCACATGTTTGTGCATGAGGGAGTGAATTTTTGCATGCATAATTGTTTTTGTGCTTTCACCAATAAATTTCTTTTGGAATGCTTTATACATAGGATTTATGTGTATAATATAGATATTATTAAGAAAAGACTACGAACACTTGATGAATTTTTACAGGCGCACATACACACACCTCTATGACTTGACAGTTATTCAAGATCTTCAGTGTAACTAAAGTTCACCAGTGTAAGTAAGATGGTTTACTCATATTAACGTAATTCTAACACCATTACACTCCATTGTTTTTTTTGCTGTACGGGTTGGCCATCACTAATCCGGCATCATCGAAAACCTGTAGGGTGCCAGATTAGTGATTTTGCTGGATTAAAGAGTAGTTAAGTAAGAATACACTTAACCCAACGACGATATTAGTGCATCAGCAATTTCACCCACTATTTGCCCTATTTTTGGCCCATTCCATTGTTCCAGTCTACCAAACTTAGCTATTTTGCTAGTATTCCTTCTGTTCTGTCAATTGAGTACAAGAAACTGCCCATTCACATATTTCAGCTGCCCAATAAAGTGGTCAAAAATTTATAATTTATCCAATTTCACACACATTTCAAAAGATGATAATTTCAAAATAGGGTCCAGAATAAATAATGCAGATATTCCTGGCACTAGAATAAAATTTTCTCTGTTCATTAGTCACATCTCCAGGCCCCTCTTATATTACTCTTGCTTTCCATTTTGAATTTTTACTCACACAAAAAATAGAAGATTTACTGTTATGCAAACTACTGCATTATTGTAGTAATTGTATAAATAATGTCAACCCATTCATGACTGTGTATTAGACCGGCTAGTTGGACACATATTGGACAGGGATGTCATTTGTTTACTCTTGAACATTAGCAAAAATCAAACATTTCCACTACTTTGAGCTCAATTTCAAGGTACTCTTTGTCGTGAAACCAATCAAAATCATATCTATTTCTGTAATATATCTTCCATTCTATCAAATGAGACCAAAAAATGAGAAAACAACCAAAAAAACAAATGAAAATACATCACAAATTCACTGTTTTACACCGTGGTCACCATTTTTTTCTCTTTGCGCACTGCATGCTGCAGGATTTTTTTATATAGTGCACACTTACCACACAGACCGATTCTTTCATATGTAGGCCCAAATTTACCAGTCACAGTTTATCTGAGTGAGCTGAGCTTATGGTGACCAACAGTGGCTTCAAAGCCACCTTATCTTTTATTGACAGTGTACAGTGTACATATGCTTTACACAACGAGAAGCATTTCTTCTACTCATTGGAACCATGGCTAGGGCTAAAAGTAAGCAGATTATAACAATAAATAAAGAAAAAAAACTGGAATGACTTACGCGGCAAGTAGCGCCACCAAACAGTATTGGCAGGTTGGTGTGCCGACCCAAGAAATTTGAAATTATGCTTGCCAAAAATAGTGCCGGATTACTGATAGAACCGGATTAGTGATGGCCGACCTGTACTAACACAAACAAATAGCCCCTGTTTTCAGTAACAGTAACAACAACAAAATCCCTTTGAGCACAGTATAACTTAAAAATGTAGTTTTCTTTTTTTTTTTCTTTATGAATTTTACTCTTTCAGATTATAAAGGCTAGGATTAGAATGCACCACACAGCATAGTTTTCGAGGAGCTCTCTCAATTCAGAAAATCTGTAAATATGGACACTAATGAAGTCTGAGTACTGTACATTTAGTAAAAGCAATATATATACCAGCATTATACAGTGGACCCCCGGTTAACGAACTTTTTTCATTCCAGTAGTATGTTCAGGTGCCAGTACTGACCGAATTTTTTCCCATAAGGAATATTGTGAAGTAGATTAGTCCATTTCAGACCCCCAAACATACACGTACAAACGCACTTACATAAATACACTTACATAATTGGTCTCATTTGGAGGTGATCGTTAAGCGGGGGTCCACTGTATAAGCATTGTAAAATATGACTTTCCATAAAAGAGTATATGTCCTCATCCAGTTTTTTTATGCAGTTACTGTACAAGTGTTGTGGATAATTTGAGCATCATCTGATGCAGAAGTATGGTATAGTAAATACAACACTGCAGTCACAGATTGTGTACAGGGGTTATGTTGCTAACAACTATTATGAACTAAGAATCAGTGAATGCCACTAAATTTTGTCCGCATAGTAAATTTTTGTTTCAGATTTGGGCCTCTGTGTTTCTGATGCCATATCTCTAAATATTGCTTAGCCTATTAATATTGACATTTCAAGAGAAATAACATCTAGAAAGAAGAGAGAATCAGTTTGGGAAATCCGGTAAACCTAAGTTTTTGTTCAAATTCAACAAAATCTTTTAGTTTGTTTCCAATTTAACCCTTTTATCAGCCATCACGTAGAACTATATCGTTGAGGCTAGGGTTCCTCATGTAGTTTTATGTCATCAGCTCAGTTCACTCAGATAAGCTGTAAGTAGTAAATTTTGGACTAGATATGAAATATGAGTTTGTGCAATGAGTGTGCACCCTATAAAAAAAATCCTGCTGCACATGGTGCATGATGGGAAAAACAAAACTGGGAATCTGTGTTTGTATAAAATAGTGACACTGCTGTGTTGTCTTGAAGGATTTTTGTGGTTTTAATGGCTTTTTTTTTATTATTCAGAAGAAAGGAAGATCTGTTACTTAAATAGAGATGATTTTGATTTGTTCCAGGAACAATAGTAAGTTGATATTGAACTCAAATTAACAGAAATATTCAGTTTTTGCCAATATTCCAGAGGATGGGTAAAGCCCTTCTACAACCCCAAGTCTGTTTTTTTTTTGTTTTTTTTTTTTTGTTTTTTTAGTAGGTCTGATTCAATTACATATTGGGATGCTGTAAACCATGATCCATCTTTCTTGGTTATTATCTGAGAAATAGAGTAAATCTTTTTTGTTTGTGAATAAGCATTCAAAATGGAAAGCAAGTGTAATATAGGAGAGGCCTGGGGACATGACTAATGAGCTGAGGAAACGTTTTAGTGCCAGGAATGTCTACCGTGTTTATTATGGGCTCTATAAATAATAATAAAAAAAGGCACAATACCGTGACTGGAACGATACACAAATAACCCGCACATAAAAGAGAGAAGCTTACGACGACGTTTCGGTCCGACTTGGACCATTGACAAAGTCACACTAGGCTCTAGTTTTAAAGTGTCATTTTTTTTAATTTTGTGTGAAATTGGCTAAATTACCAAATTTTGATCACTTTATAAGGTAGTTAAAATAGTTGAATGGGCAATTTTTTGTGCTCATTCGATAGAATAGAATGCATACTAGCAAAATAGCTAAGAATTTAGTTGACTGAAACACTGGAATTATCTTAAAATAGGACTACTACTACTACTACTACTACTACTCAACAAAAACTTTATTTCTATAAAATGGAGTTTAGTACATTATACAATTAAGGTGATTGACTTTTTTTTTTCTTTAAAGTATTAGCTGTCTCCTACTGAGGTAGGGTGACCTAAAAAGAAAAATGAAGGTTTTTCTTTTTATATTTAGTAATTTTTACAGGAGAAGGGGTTACTAGCATCTTGCTCCTGGCATTTAAGTCACCTCTTATGACATGCATGGCTTATAGAGGAAGGATTCTTCTCCACTTACCCATGGAGAATAATTGACATATATAACTACTTTATAGAAAGCCTCTTGCTATACAAAGCATTTCAGGCAGCCTTAAAACTAAATTATGATTACAAGTACAGTGGTACCCAGAGTTTCGGCCATAATTCATTCCAGAAGGCTGTTCGAGTGCCGTTACCGAACGAATTTGTTACCATAAGGAATAATGTAAATTAGATTAATCTGTTTCAGACCCCCAAAAATATGCTTACGAAAGCACTTGCAAAAATACACTTTCATAATTGTTTGAGTTGGGAGCTGTACGAAACTCGGGGTACCACTGTATATGAGAATAAGAATAGTACAGTGGAACCTCAAAAATCGAACTGCTCCCAACACAACAAATTATGTAAGTGTATTTTTGTAAGTGCTTTTATAAGTGTATTTTTGAGGGTCTGAAATGGACTAATCTAATTTACATTATTCCTGATGGGAATAAATTCATTCGGTAAAGGCACTCGAACAGCCTTCTGGACTGAAGAAAGTTCGATATTTGAGGTTCCACTGTACTTAGTTTTTAAAATATTGGAGGTATATTTAGTAATTCAATAAAAGAGATATAATTAATGCTATATTAAGGATGACACTAGGTACGTGAGATGAAGTATGGATCGACAAGGACAGGGACAATACAGGTTGAAAGAATTATTCAGCTAGGATCACACTTGGGGAAAGTTTGTATTTCTCAACAGCAGCTCTGATGCAGCTGTGGTAAATAGGTAGACTATTCTGAAATTTGTTTTGTTTTGATGCATGAACTTTTTTCTGTTTTGTTTTCTGGGTGTGGAAACCATACTGTGGCTGCATATTTCAGTTCAGGTCTAACATATGTTGTGAATAATTCATAGCATTTTTTGCCTTCCATATGTTTGAAAGTTTTATTATTTTTACCAGCATTGTATAGCATGTTCCTTTTTTCACTACTGCATATATGTGATTTTTAGGTGATAACTTAATAATGCCTCAGATTCTTTTTTCTTCTCAGTTATTTTAAAGATTTTATAACCTCTTTACAATTTTTCCTAGTTCCATTACATGGCACTTATGTACATTAACTCTTTCATTGTCTTTCATGTAGATCTATGTTATTGATGCCAGTGTCATTCACATACATCTACATCACAAGTACAGTGCTCTCATATATACTGAGAGCAGTAAATTTTGGGATAGATGTGAGAGAATGGGTCTGTGGCTCTGTGCAGTCAGTGTGTACAGTATAAAAAATTCTTGCCCCGTACAGTTCATGATGGGAAAAGTGAACCTCTGACCTTGTGTTTGGTTTAAAATGGCAACTTTAAGGTGGTTTGTAGGGAGATTTTTATTGTTTTATTGACTGTTTCATGATGTCAATTGATAGAATGGAAAATATACTTGAGAAATGGAAAATATACTAGAGTAGTCGGTTTCAGACAGAAAGTAACTTGAAAAGGGGCTTCAGGTGGCAGAAATATTAGTTTCTTGCAGTTTCCCTGAGGAAGGGTAGTGCCCTTTCCTTCCATCCCTCCTCAGTTTGTTTTATAGATTTGTACTTCAGTCTACTTCAATTATTGGGATGGCCTAAGCATGGGTAATCTTAGTTATATTTTATTATCTGAAAAATAAGAGTAAAACCAATTTTTTGTTTAATGTTGGATTCAAAATGGAGGGCAAGTGTTATACAGGAGAGATCTAGGGACATGATTAATGAACAGAGAAAAAGTTTCTTTAGTGACTGATATGCCTACAGTGTTTATTAAAGACTTAGTTTTTAAATTACAATTTGTTGACTTTTGTATAAAAGTGGCCAAATTACCAGCTACTGTGTCCTTTATAGGGTTGTTCTGACAGTTGTATGGGCAGTTTCTTGCCCTCAGTTGATGTAATGCAAGGCATAATAGTTAGGAATTGTCAAATTAAGCAATGGAATTTTCTGAAAATAGGAAATTGTAGATGGTAAATTGCATCCAGACCACCAGCTTTGTGCCTGCATAATTTCATTAGTTTTTCATCAAATTTTATATTTTTGATGTCATTACCTTTAGATTGTAAAACTTATAAGGGAATAAGTTTACTGAGTATACCAGGAAAAGTGTATGGTAGGGTTATTATTGAAAGAATTAGGTTTGTCATTTAGAGAGAATGGATCAAAATAGAATGATTTGGAGAGTGTATAAATCTGTAGGGAAAGGAAGGAGGGGTAGGGGTCATCCTAGAAGAGGTTGGAGGGAGGGGATAAAGGAGGTTTTGTGGGCGAGGGGCTTGGACTTCGAGCAAGCATGTGTGAGCGTGTTAGATACAAGTGAATGGAAACAAATGGTTTTTGGGACCTGACAAGCTGTTGGAGTGTGAGCAGGGTAATATTTATTGAAGGGATTCAGGGAAACTGGTTATTTTTATATAGCTGGACTTGAGTACTGGAAATGGGAAGTACAGTGCCTGCACTTTAAAGGAGGGGTTGGGGATATTGGCAGTTTGGAGGGGTATGTTATACATATATCTTTATATATGCTTCTAAACTGTTGTATCTAGGCACCTCTGCAAAGACACTGATTATGTGTGAGTGAGGTGAAAGTGTTGAATGATGATGATAGTATTCTCTTTTGGGTGATTTTCTTTCTTTTTGGGTCACCCTGCCTTGGTGGGAGACAGCCGACTTGTTAAAAAAAAAAATAAAACTTTAGAAAAAGTTGACACTGTCAGAACTTATAATTTTGGGGGTCACAACAGTGAAAGGGTTAAATTTCATTATTCATTTATCATTCCACTTGCTCACTTGATGTAAATATTCTTGTCATGATTTACAATCAATTTGTTTTATTTCTCATTTTCTCTAGGATTTCTTTTAATCATATGCAGATATATTTATGAAGCTATTTATTCCATGTTGTAATGGATGCTTGATGGATTTTCTCTTCCAACTGGTGGGAGAGAATGGAGTGGAGTAAGTATGGATACTTCCTCTCCACTTGGAGGGGAGAGATGGCACCAAGTGTTGCTACACCTCCAAACTGATGATCTGTAATGTGTTTTTTAGTGTGCATGTAATTTGTGCACTTGTGTGGGCATATATATGTATATGTGAATTTGTGTTTTTGGGTGTGTTCATTTTAAGATCCCTGTGCATAATCCTTTCTAAATGCTGTTACTGTAAATTCATATTCTCTGGCTTTGTGCCTCTAGTACAGCATTTGTTTACTGTACATAAAGGCATGAAGCAAGATGATGATTTAATTCATTAATGATTTTTTTTAAGTTTCAAATTAAAGCTAACAAAAAGTTTGCAATAATAGGCATGTCTGAAGGACCTGGTGTGATCACTTCCCTGAAACCTCCTGGGCCAACTCTTGCTACTCGAAGTCGATTATCAAACATGGCAGGTATAAAGGTATGTTTTCTTGTGTCTGATAATATTTCTTTAGGATTAAGGATCATAAGACGTGGTTTTAGCTAAAAAAGTTTCTTCAGAGGAGGATATTCTTTAGGTGGTAAGACATGATTGAGGTACCATAAATCAGAGTCTTATTGCACTAGTAATTTGGACTTAAAGAAAAAATTTTCTACAAATTTTCCGGGATATTTTAAATACCTTACATTGATGACTACTAAATTTTCACAAAAATTTATGAATACATCTTAGTCTAGTAAGGGAGAGATGTACAGTATACAGATGCAGTACTGTACAGTATATTTTCAACTGTAGGTTAATCTCTGTATGGTGGATCATTCAAATTCAAAATTCAAATTCAAATTTATTTATTTCCTTGCAAATAGTACATTGAGATTATATTTTTACAATAATGGGTTGCAGTGCAAAGAGAGCTCCTATTATGCCTAGGCATTATGGGCCGACTTAATTTATTAGCTTACTCACTACTTAACACTAAAGAAATTTATCGTAGTTGTACAGTAGTTCTATTAATTATAAGTGAGTCTAATTTATACAAACCAAAGGATATATTCATATATTCAAGAATGCTTTTTATGAAACATGATTCAAGAGTAGTTTACAGTAGTTAACAGTATGAGAATGCTACAATTTGGTGAAGGGCAGTACTGCTTTTGGTAGGTATGTATACTTCCATGTGGTAATTTGTCAATACTAGATGAACTTGGTTGTTTAGTCTTGAAGTTTCAGGATTAAGGTAATTTGGTAGATTTATTGAGTATTGAGTATTTAGTCTAGGGTGATTAAGTGGCTTTTGAGAAGAGTCTTAAATTGATTTTCAGACTGGGTTACTTTAGTATTTTCTGGTAATGAATTCCAAATTTTGGGGCCCTTTATGTGCATTGAGCTTTTACACAGTGTGATGTGGACACGGGGTACATCAAAAAGAGATCTATGTCTTGTGTTATGGTCGTGTGTCCTGTTATGGTTGGTGAGGAGAAGTTTGAATGGAGGGTTTATGTTTGCATGTATTGTTCTTTGTATGTAATAGGCACATGAATAAGTATGGATGTTCTTAATAGTGAGCAGATTTATACTTTTGAATATTGGTGGAGTATGCTGTTGGGAGTGGGAATTTGTTATCATTCTGACTGGTGCCTTTTCCTGGGTTATTAGTGGTCTTAGTTGATTTGATGTTGTTGATCCCCATGCACAAATTCCATATGTGAGATAAGGGTAGATGAGTGAATGGTACAGTGCAAGGAGAGCTGATTGTGGAACATAGTATCGTATCTTTGATAGTATGCCTTAGAGATTTTCTTGGTGATTTGTTTTATATGTGTCTGGAACTTGAGGCTACTGTCAAGGTGGATTCCTGGGAATTTTCCCTCCGCGAGTCTTGTGACGGGTGATCCGTTAAGCGTTATGTTAATTGGTACATTTGCGGCTTTGCTTCCAAACTGAATGAAGTAGGTTTTGTCAGTATTCAGGGTAAGTTTATTAGTCATCATCCAGGCAGATATTTTCTGTAATTCGGCATTGACAGTGATGGCGAGTATGACTGGGTTTGGGTGAGAGAAGACGTATGTAGTGTCATCTGCAAATAATATGGGTTTGAGTAGCTGTGATGCATTCGGTAGGTCATTGATGTAGATGAGAAAGAGGAGTGGTCCAAGGACACTTCCCTTTGGGACTCCTACTGTGATTGGTTGAATGGAAGAGTTTGCACCATTTGTATACACATATTGGCTTCTGTTACTAAGGTATGACTTTAGGTAGTTGAGGGAGTGTCCTCTTATACCATAGTGTGTTAATTTAGTGTACAGCAGTTTATGTAAATCAATGAAAATTCCCAGCAGGACTTCTTTCTTTTCGAGAGCAGTATGTATTAATTCTAGCATATGTATGATAGCATCATTTGTGCTTTTATTATTCCTGAATCCAAACTAACAGGGGTTTAGTATGTTATGTGAGACGAGGTAGGAGTAAAGCCATCTATGAATTAATTTTTCAAAAATTTTAGAGAGGAGTGATAAGTTAGATACTGGTCTATAGTTATTCAGGTCAGCTTGGTCACCTCCTCCTAAATTGAAAACTTTTAAAAAGAAGGTACAGTACTGTGACTGAAGGGCTAGACAGCTATTTTAAAAGAAAATCATGCCCTTTGAGGCAACCAAATTTTTTTTTTTTAAGTATCCTACTTTACACAGTAGCTACGACTATTTACTACACAATGTTATACTGTAATGCCTGTAAGCCACTAAATATAGACTAGAGTACGTATTGCATTCTGTGGCTTTCTGGGATAACCTTTAGTGGGGAATACTCAATAGTATCCTTTCAGCTCTTGCTTTACTTCATTTATAGCTGTGACATCTGTTTCTTCTGGTGTTTGGATATCTTTCTTACCACGTTTTTTTTTTTTTTTTTTTTTTTTTAACAAGTCAGCCGTCTCCCGCCAAAGCGGGATGACCCAAAAAGAAAGAAAATCCCCAAAATGAAAATACTTTCATCATCATTCAACACTTTCACCTCACTCACACATAATCACTGTTTTTGCAGAGGTGCTTAGAATACAACACAACATATCCCTTCAAACTGCCAATATCCCAAACCCCTCCTTTAAAGTGCAGGCATTGTACTTCCCATTTCCAGGACTCAAGTCTGGCTATATAAAATAACCGGTTTCCCTGAATCCTTTCACTAAATATTACCCTGCTCACTCTCCAACAGCTCGTCAGGTCCCAAATACCATTCGTCTCCATTCACTCCTATCTAACAAGCTCAGGCACGCTTGCTGGAAGTCCAAGCCCCTCGCCCACAAAACCTCCTTTACCCCCTCCCTCCAACCTTTTCCTACCCCGCCTTCCTTCCCCTACAAATTTATACGCTCTCCATATCATTCTACTTTGATCCATTCTCTCTGAATGACCAAACCACCTCAACAACCCCTCTGACTAATACTTTTATTAACTCCACACCTCCTAATTTCCACACTCCGAATTTTCTGCATATTTACACCACACATTGTCCTTAGACAGGACATCTCTCCTGCCTCCAATCGCCTCCTCGCTGCAGCATTTACATCCCACACTTCACACCCACTACTATACACACTACTATACTTTCACACATTCCCTTCTTTTTGTCTTCACATATACCTCAATGCACCACTCACCTTTTTTCCTTCATCAGTTCTATGATTAACCTCATCCTTCATAAATCCATCTGTTGACATGTCAGCTCCCAGATATATGAAAACATTCACTTCTTCCATACTACTCCTCTTATATCCTTTCATTAACTTTATTTTCTTCTATTTGGTTGTTCTGTCTCCTTGTTTCCCTTTATCAAAAATGGATGTTTGATGTTTTCAGTATTTTTTCATAAGTTATGTTTTATAGCTCTATGAGCCATTTTGCAATTCATCTTTTTCTAGTTTGTTAACTTATTTTTTAACCCTTTTTGGGTTTCCAACGTACTAGTACGGCTTACGCACGTACTAGTACGCCTAAATTATGGCGCCTTCAAATCTAGTGAGAGAAAGCTGGTAGGCCTACATATGAAAGAATGGGTCTATGTGGTCACTGTGTAAAGTATAAAAAAAATCCTGCAGCACACAGTGCATAATGAGAAAAATAAACTCCGACCATATTTTTGGTTTAAAACGGCAACTTTGCAGTGTATTTTCGTATGGTATTTGTGGTTGTATTTTAGTTTTCCTGGTCTCATTTGATAGAATGGAAGACATATTACAGAAATTGAGATGATTTTGATTGGTTTCCTAATGAAAAGTACCTTGAAATTGAACTCAAAGTAGCAGAAATGTTTGATTTTTACCAAAGTTCAAAAGTAAACAGATCATGCCAAGCGTCCAATACACATCGACTGGTGAGTTTAATATTCTTTGACAAGTGCGCTGATATTATTTACACCATTTCTACACTAATGCAGTAGTCTACATAACAGTAAATCTTCTATTTTTTGTGAGAATAAAAATTCAAAATTGAAAGCAAAAGAGATGTAAGAGGGGCCTGGGGACATGACTAATGAACAGAGAAAATGTTATTTTAGTGCCAGGCATGTCTGTCTTGTTTATTCTGGACCCTATTTGGAAATTGGCATCTGAAATTTGTGTGAAATTGGCAAAATTGCCAATTTCTGACCACTTTATTAGATAGTTGAAATTGGTAAATGGGAGGTTTCTTGTACTCATTCGATTGAAAAAATGGAGTTCTAGTGAAATATATATGATTTTTGTCGACTAGTACACTGGAATTGTCCAAAAATAGGGCTCAAAGTGGGCCAGATAGCCGATGCATAAACATCGTTGAGACCGCTAACTTTCCGAGAGCATAATTCCGTAATTTTTCCATCAAATTTCATACTTTTGGTGTCATTATGATTGGGAAAAGATTCTCTATCATCTTATAAGAAATTTTTTTTTTTTTTCCGAAAATTTTTCGACTGAGAACGAGTTTAGGAGAGGGCCTCTCAACCCTGAAAGGGTTAAGAAAACTCACAATATTACTACTACATACTCTAATTTTGTTCTAACATATGTTGCTAATAGTATTTTTAGCATTTTCACCATCAATACTTTAATTTTTTTTTTAACACATTGGCCATTTCCCATCGACGCAGGGTGTCCCAAGAAGAAAGAAAGAAACTTTCATCATCATTCAACGCTTTCACCATCACTCATACATAATCAGTCTTTCAGAGGCACTCAGATACGACAGTTTAGATGTCCCCCCAAACTGCCAATATCCCTAGCCCCTCCTTTAAAGTGCTGGCATTGTACTTCCCATTTCCAGGACTCAAGTCCAGCTAACCAATTTCCCTGAATCCCTTCTCAAAATATTACCCTACTCACACTCCAACAGTTCGTCAGGTCTCAAAAACTATTCGTCCCCATTCACTCTTATCTAATATACTCACACATGCTTGTCCAGAAAACCTCCTTTTCCCTCTCCCTCCAACCTTTTCAAGGATAATCC